TCACTCATTCAAGAGACGTCTCCAAAGGCTTATGAGAAACTCGAAAGTGCCAGTGAACGGCTGTTTTCGAGCCGATACTTTTGCTCGAAATTGCCCTATCAACAAGATGGCCTGTGCGTTTCCATGTGGATGGACTCCAAGCGAGGACGAAGGCCGCCGAATCCCATCGCATATGGTGCAAAAGATTCAACAGTAAGCTTGATCTTCGAGGCACTTCCACCAGCGACTTCAGCGTTTCCAGGCCTTGAGGACGGAGAGCATGGATACCTGTAGAAATGAAGAACTTAAGGAACACAACGAATTGAACCCTTGCCAAACTACACAGAAACTCATAGAAATTAGAATGTGTAACAGTAAAAAAGGTTCTACGTGCGAGTGGTAAGACCTTCCAGGATAGAAAATAGGTTCCGCCTATTATGTGCGAAGCGAGCAAGTAGTAGAGGCTGCCAATACTGTGCTTTCTTCCATAATTCCAAAAGAAAGAAAACTCTTGACTTCGTTGTAAGCTCACTTCCCAACAGGATAAAATAGTCCGATAAAAAAAGTGAGAAGATTGTGGCGGTTGGGAGCAGATGGAGAGATGAGGGAAATTTTTCTTTCTGAAACTGGACATCCACGAAAAAAGTTCTTGTGCATGGTGAAGCAATATAGGGTTGGCGTACTGTGGAGAGCTGACCATGACTGCTTGTCAGACAGTTACAGCTGAACCCTGAGCACAGCGATTCGCTTGCGTGCACCAAGCACTGCGTCGTCAAGTGGTAAATTTGGCCAATGTAAAGTTATCGAAAGACCACATGTCGCGAAAACAACGCAGCAAGAAATTTGGAGCTGGGCTAGAACGTTCTGCCTTCGAAGTCTAGCTCAAAACTAGACTAGATAGCCCAAAACTGGCGCCATTCGACTTTCATCGACCTGAGCCAATGCAGCACTCCTCAGCAACAAATACTCAGTAATTGCGACGACCTCAAAATTTGAGTGCCCAACTTCTTCGAGTCGTACCTGAAAGAGTTCTACGAGGTAGGCCTCCATGCTTTGCGTAACAAAAGGTGAAGAGCGAGTGACACACATGGAGGAAATAATTTAGGTTGATGTGCTTTGATATAGCTTTTATACTTTTACACTTTTTTGAAATTATCGTTGATCGGAAACGACATTTCGTAAGTTAACTTCGTATATTGTAACGTGCTTGATGCTTGCCCTGATGTCGTTGACCGCTTTGGCTCAACATAAAATATGCGCGGTGTACCAAAGGGGTGAGGGCGGGGGGGGGCTATTAAGAGCCCAACCCATCCAGAATTTTCCGCTTCTAGTACGCTAGGACTAAACTCTAAGAGGGAATAAGGAGAAAGAGTAATGAGGAATAATCAAGGTTCCCGCCCGTCACCTCTACGCTATGTCTGGGATATTTTCAGAGGTTACATGTTGGCGATCAAGGGCAGCCCTACTAGTTTGTCTTGCTGTCACATTAATCGTGAGTTTTGCCGCTTATCTTTTGTTTTGTACGAAAAATATGACGCCAAATAGGTACTTGTGCTTCTACGAGATGGTCAACATAGGGCATCCTGATCACCTGTGGCAGGGAAATTCACTCCCTCGCCTCGCTTTACCTTCTGCTCTCACTACAAAAATCAAAGAATCCCTGCAAAATCGTATAACAACTAGCAAATCAATTGTATAGAAACGGCCTACTCTAGGTCTGTACTTCATTAGTCCCCCGGGAACCTGATTTCGTCGGAATAAGAAGACCATTATGAAGTCTTGATAGATTGATGCTCTTTGGTGACCATTTCAGCGCACTTGGTTCGATCTTACAAGGGAGGTCTTTCAGGACATGGAGCGCTTTTCGAAATGGTTTTTGCATGTTGTAGGGGCTCATGCGAGGAACACAGAACCATGATCCATTTTTCCTGAACGCCTCCAGGAATGTCAAAACAGTGGTGAAGAAATGGTCCAGAGTTCGATCCCCGGTGATGACTAATTTTTGCAATATAGTTTGGCGCCCCAGATTGCCGCCAAATGGCGCCATCGTCGAGAATAGATGTCATTGTCGTGTTTTGCGGCAATTTGGAGGCGCCAACATAAATTGCAAAAATTTGTCATCACGGAGGATCGAACTTTGGACCATTTCTTCCCCGCTGTTTTGACATTCCTGGGGCGTTCAGGAAAAATGGACCATGGTTCTGTGTTCCTCACATGAGCCTCTACAACATTCAGAAACCATTTTGAAAAACGCTCCATGTCCTGAAAGACCCCCCTTTTGGCTAAAAGCATTTATTCCTTTTCCTATATGGGGCGAGAGTGACTTCTTTGGCTTCCTCGCTGTATATGCTGCACAGTTAAAGTTGATGACTATTCTTTCAGGAGAAGAGTTACCAATGTCCCGCGGATCACACCTCATTTCAACAGAAGGGATTGTTGCCGGCAGCGCAAGGAAGCCGTGTTGCAAAACCTGGGGATAAAAAGCATCAATTCAAAGCATTTTGGGAAGATTTCAATTTTCCGTTTCCACATCCAAAAGATGCTACTAGTCCTCCTCCACCCCAGCGTAAACCTCCACCTCCTCGACGTCCAACTCCACGTCCAGTTCAACGCCCACCTCCTCCTCCCTCAACTGATCCACCTCTCGTTCGTCCATCACCGCCTGGTGATCGAACGAATGATAATCTCGGCATGCCAGCTGGGCCTCAAACAATACCCCCATTAGAAGATGATGAGTATGACGATGAGCCAATAATAACTGAGCCTTCGCCACTGACAAAACGTCCAACGACAGCACCGGTTGCCGAAACCGAGGCGCCAACAACGAATACCTCCACCACCTCCAGCGACAACTCCTCCACCTCCACCACCTCCCCCTACTACTGTGAAAACGAAGGCCCAAACTTCACCTTCTACTGAATCTCCCCCGTCTCCTCCACCACCCTCACCTCCTCCTAGCACGGAAAAACCAACACCATTACCCACGATACCGCAGCAAACACCTCCACCACCACCACCTCCATCATCAAAGCCCACGCCCAAACCAGCAACAAAGCCAGCACAAGGACATTCAACTGCGGCTTCGGCAAGGCCGTCGCAAGATGGATCTGATGACAAACAGACGGAGAAGCCACAAGCACCAACAAAGCCCCAGCAAGAACCTTCAAAGGATCCTGATGAATACGATGAAACGACGGAGGAGAAACATCCTACAGCTAAAGTTACAGAGCCTTCAACGAAGAAGGGTTCTCAGGTGAGCTGACTATGAGCAATTTTAACTTACTCGGCTCCTCTTTTCCACCGAAGCTTCATAATGAAGTAGAGTTGACGTCTATTAAAGGCTTTTGCTTACATAATTGAAAGCAAACTTCACTTTTTACGTCACAACGGAGACGAATAAAGACCCCATCAGTTAGTAAATTTGTCAGTCACAGCTCATGAATTTTTTCATGTTTTTGTTAATCCGCAGGACTATTCTCCCCCTACGTACTCGTGAAGCCCATAGAGTCGACAGCTTTTACACTATTCATAAAAGGTAGGAAAAACACCGTGGAGGATTTGCTCCACATTTTGTGCGATAAATTTCAGCGTGATCCACAGTTCTACCCTGGATCTGTCGTAAAATTCGGTTGATCGCATCAGGGAGATGGCCCTGATTTCGATGCAACTCCCCCTTACTCCCTGTGAATCCAACTCCAGGAGAGCATCAATGTTACAGGGTGCGCCATAATTGCTTGTTCAAATTTTTGCCCTTGTATGAACTGTAAAACATTAAGGGAAACTACATTAATCTCATTTCGGCCGGTTACCGACTGGATCCCTCGGGACGTCAAACGAACACCTGGACGACCGCCGGCCCGATGGTCAGACTTCTTCACGAAAGCTCTGAACGAAAGGAATGAAGGACTCGTGTCCCTCGAGCGAGGAGGATCCACTGGACAACTCTTGCACGCGACAGGGACGAATGGAGACGTTGCTGGCGCCCGCTCGAGCAATTCGATGATCAACGGGACGACAGGTGATACAGGTGAAGTCGGTGCGGGTAGAACTCGCGGTTTTGACCAGTTGAATGTCAAGTACCTCACCAGTATGCAGCTAGAAAGCTTTATTGTGGGCAAACATCAGCTCGAAGAAATTGTTCGCTGGAAGAATTATTCTCGAAACAGTTGGTGTTCACACGATTGAAGTCGAGACGCCAGAAGTAGTATCCGCCGAGACGCACCCGTACCCGTCTCCTTGGAGAGCCCTTCTGCGATGGAATATATCCATCCCCTGCCGTGGAATAAAACATTCTGCAATATCTATTTGACCCATTCGCGACCGCGCAGGATGCGCACTAGCAGGAGGGTCAGGAGATCATTCTACAATAGAATTTGAGTGTATGGAGATTTCCCCTGCCCAGGGGCTGGCGTCGATGAAGGAGGGTATAATGGTTTATTCAGGAAAGAAGATTTTTT